ACGTAATATTTATGACGGATTTATTTGTCATAAAAAGTACAAAAAAATCGTACTTAATAGTATGATTTCATCACTAAAAAGTGCATTAATGTTGACGAAATTTCCCCGTCCCTAAAATTTAGTTTAATTAGTGACGACGTCAAATGTCTCTAAAGCTGTGTGTTTCATAGTTGAAAACCATAATTTTGTCATTAAAGACTACCTTTTATCTACAAAAAAGTATTTCGTCCCTAATATATAATTAGTGACAATTATTATTTTGTAGTTAAAACTACCATCTTGTCACTAAAAGAATAATTTTTATCGACAAAACAAAGTTGTCACTATAAGTTATCATAATTAGTGACAATTACAATTGTCAAATAATACAAAATTGATTCGTAGTCAATAAAAAGATGATTTTGGGACATAAATTATTTTGTCACTAAATATAGTGAATTTATGACGAACTTAATTTGTTTAGTGACGAAAATGTGATATTCCTAAACACTATATAAAAGTGAACTTTTTTGTCACTAATAACAAATGTTTGATGACGTTTATATTCGTATTTGTTTTAGATTGACGTAATAAAAATTTGAAATAACATAATAAAACAATCAACGTAATAACATAAAAATAAAAACAATCAAAGGTAATAACAAAAATATTCACCATTGATCATAAAACTAATATTAAAACTATATTGAAATAAAAGCTCCTTAAATTAAAAGAAACATAGTTAAAGTAAATATGTCCAACGTAAAAGTCTAATTGAGAAATATTACTCCTAAACTAGGACTGAGAAGTGGAGGAATGCAGTGACACTTCACTTGCAATTAATCTTGATCCAATAGTTTCCTCCATATACCTGTATAAAAGATAGAGAAAAAATTATGATTTAAGTTAATACTTTATGGTATCATGGTATAAATAAGATATAATTGGTATAAACTACAACTTCTTGTTAGACGTAGAGTTTAATTGGTGAAACAAATAAATGAATTGTGATACAAGTAAATAAAAATGAGAAAAAAATTAAATAGTGTGAAGTTTAGTGTACCCAAAGTTGATAATCTGGTGGGGCTCAATCTTCACTGTATCATTAAAAAAAAAATTCGAACTTAGATGCTAAAAGAATTATAATTGAATTCATCATTTAAAGATGTAGTACTTCTAACCTTGATGGTGATGAGCCAATAAAATGACGCTTCATTTGGTTTAATATTTCCTCTTGGCGTGCCCTTAGAGTACCCAACTCAGAAGTTAATGTTTTTATCTGTATCTGCTGATTTGCTACCTCAGTTTCAGCTACATTCAAACGTTCTTGTAAACCATGTTGGGTAGTAGTAGCATCCTCTTTTGCCCTCCTAAGAGCATCCTCTAATTCTGATGTCCTTCTTTTTGTTGCTATAGTTGTATTAGGCTTTTCACCATAACCAAGACCTTTAATATGTCCCGACCTTGTACCAAGTACATTATCAACAATTTCATCAATAGCCATGGGATTCTCTTCAGAAACAGACCGAGCTCTCAAATCTCTCATTTTGTTCTACATAAAAATATTACATCAGTTAAATTAATTATAAGATAGAATGAATACATGTGACATGTTACTAAAATATTACTTACGTAGTTAGTCTCAGCCTCTGGAGGTGACCATCCTTTTTCACTCGAGTATGGGTACTTTTGTAGAACTCAATCCTATTTGGCTCTACTCCTTCATGTTCCTTCACACCCTACACAATATGAAAATAATATGAAATATTACTAAAATATCATCTTAGTAATGAATATCTAGGGTGATTGAACCTCAACCACATTGACATGATTAGATTACAGGTTCAACAAAAGGTAATGAATGTATGTGGATCAAAGCTTTTTACCTATACCAACTCCTGTCAAGGCAACCATTTTTGAGAGTTTTGTGAGACAGAACATTGCAGAGTCAGAAATTGATGTGACAAGTAACATTAGACAACTAATGAAGAGTAGTTATGGCTTCCCAACTAACAACAAGACAGAATTTTTATATGTTGACTGCCCTTTTGTACAAAAATAAACTCAGAGAAAGGAAGCAAATAAAGGTTTTATATCAGAAAGCTCAATATATTTTAAGAGCCTTAAAATACTACTACTAACAGTTGTTGTAGAATACATGACGCAGACATAGGACTGGTTTTCCTTGTTATTAAGGTCCTAGATGTGATACTAATATTTGATAATTAAAAGTTTAACTAAAGCATGCTGACAAAGATTTAAAGAAAAGTAAAGAGATACGAAAGAAACAAGTTGCACAGAAACGTCCCCGCCTCTCAATTACCAATTCACCATGACTTTGTTCACTATAAATTACATCTCAAACTTAGAAATTACTAAATAGGCTTCAATGTTTCACAACAGACTCCCCTTGATCCTTGGGACCCTTCTCATATTCCCGTGGTCCAAACATTTATCCAAAGTCGAATACGTAACTCCACCAAAGACCCTAAACACGCATCTAAGCTATTCTTAATACAAAAAGAGTTCAATCAAACATCCTAAATGCAGCCTCTCTAGTTCATTTCATATTGTCGACAACTTAAACCAGACAAAGAAGGAAAAAGAGCAGTGATTCAAATCATTGTTGACTTTAATAGAAGCGTGACTTTCTTACATGGGCAACTGGAGGACATGATATCTAGATGACTGTATAACATATACAAACAGATAAAAACTTCTTATTTATGAGTAGGTTTGGTGTTTTGTTAAGAAAATATTTACACATATGAGGCAAGGTTAGTTTCAAAGAGTCAAGTACTACACATTAAGCAGGTTCTCTATTTTTTATACAAATGATAAGTTTCTCCCATTTTAGCAATTCTCATCCCACACATCTGACTTTCTAATGTAGGCAGAGATCATAGAACTCAAGCAAAAAAAAAAGCAAATACAAAGGAAGAGGAAGAACTGACACATAATGCTTTCCGAGTTCGAACAACTCAAACATAAATAAAATAAAAATAACTGCTTTACATAGAAGATATGCCTTCCGTATGAGAAGAGATCAGATATTAACTAAAATCAATGGATACATTAATCTTCAAATATAAAAGTATAGTTGATGGAATGTCTGATGAGAATCAAGTTTTCTACTTCTTTTTTCTTAGAAAAGGTAAGTTTTATTGAGTATCAGCACTAACGTTGGGGCTATAAATTAGGAAATGAGATCTAACAAGATTTCAGCATCATTTACAAGTTCCAGTTTACACCAAAACATAATAAGAGCTTAACAGTCAAGTTCTAGTAATTTACTACTTAAGAGCGTGCAATGTCTAATATTTAACCAAGTTATATGTCTAGTTTTAAGTGCTAAGTTATGTTATCAAAACACTCATAAACTACATTAACATAGAAACAGGTGGTTAAAGAAGTGATTGATCCTAGTGCAAATATGGAGTTCAGAGCCAACACGGCAGATGATCCTCACAAGAGGAAACCAGATATCAGCAAAGCAAAAAAAGCTAACCGGTTCACGAAATGCCATATAAGAAAACTAGAAATCCAATAACGAGTCACAAACAGAGCCTCGACAGCAATAAATAGGCCAAACAAGCTCTAGAATACTCAATAATTGCAATAAAAAAACTTGCACAACAGCAACAAGAAACTAACTTGATTTGAATTATGAATGAAAAATAGCAATACTTAAAAGTATGTGCAAGTTCTTTTCTTTTTTTCACCATTTTGAATATTAAAAATGTCCCTTGAGATTTCAGTCTTCGCCTACCAAGCATAGAGATTGGAAAAGTTCCAAAAAATAAAAATAGTATAACTTACTATTTCAGCACGAGCAGCTACAAAAGCTCTTGACCCCATGAAATGATTAGATTTCAGCTTTGTTCGATTGACCTTGTTTATCTCGCATCGTCTCTACAAAGAATATATAAATATAAGTAAATGAACTTATAATGAAACAAATATGATGCTAAAGCTTATTATCATTTCGCACTATAAGTTCTCAGATGTTAGCATAAAAGACTGGACATAAACTAAAGAACCACGTCAAACTCTTCTCATAGGTTGCATTTTTCAGAGGCATTTAAAGAATCTTTTTTTTTCTTTTTTACTTCCAGTTTATTTTCTACTCTTATTTGTATCTTCTGTAAGGGTCTACTCATATCAATGCAAGCCATATCATCCATGAATGAATGTTGCAGCTGCAAAGTAGAGAAAAATATTTTTTGAAAATATCTTCTGTACATTTTGTTTGTACGTATACTTAATTACTTAAAGAAAAAGGTTGAGAAATCGTGAATGTTGTTTGCCAGAAAAAGATATAGCGAGACAAATATGAATAGAAATTACCTTATGCTCTGGATTCGCCCACATGTCACAGAGCCTGTTCCAATTTTCCGGGGTCAACTCTGGCACTTCAATTTTACGAGCCTCTTCCTCGGAGCTTGCACTTTCAAATAGCTTTTTTAATTTGTAGCGCCATTGTCGGCTTCTATTTTTCAGAATATCCTCACATCTATCTTTGGTGTAATGCTCGTCCCAGTTAATTTCAAACTTCTCCTGCAAAATGAGAAGTTTTGAAGACACTCACAAAACAATTAAAATTTCCTTTGCTGGTAAAAGATTAAAAACTAACATATTTATAATGTAATAAAATTTACCAAAATATAGAATCCTTACATGGCATCTAATTAATGCTGCATCCTTATCATCTCTTGTGAGTTCCTTCCACTTGTTTGGAAGCGAAAGAAAGTTGCGAGCAATAATTCCTAACTCATTTGATAGCTTTGCTGATGGAATTGCCTTAACTGGCCTTCCTTTACCAACTGGGATGTCTATAACCATCTTTCTCCCTATAGACTTCTTCATTTTCTCAAGACCTTTTCTCATTGTCCTTCCACGACCTTTCCTGATTCTAGTTGAATCATCTGATTTTAAAAAGTAAAAATCAGTTCAAAATACTTGCTAAAATTCTTAAATGGTAACCATGTATATATATTAGTAACTAATTACCATGCTACAAATGAAAACTCTACTGTTTCAAGTTTAACATTAATGAAATATTTCAAATGTTAATATATTTGGTTCCAACTTAAACACAAAAGAATCCTAGATGCTGGAATATAAAGATTGTTATTTCTTTCCAGTCGAGGAAAGTAAGAATTTGTTGAAACTTCTTATTGGGCGACAATCAGAAACTTTGTTTACATCCCTTCTTTTAAACACAATCTGTTTGTTTTATAAAGATAAACTCAAAAATAATATTGCAATAGGTGTGAAGTTCTTGGCTACCCTTAGTATTTGCTAAAACCAATAAGAAAGAATGGGTGCAATGTAATTTATCAGATAATGACTTCCACAGAAATGAAAATCTCCAATATACCTTCGAATTGCAATATAATTGACCCAACAATAAGAAATTACTTCAATTTTACAGCAAAGGTTTCAATAAAAATAGTACTACCAAAAGTCTGAATTAGAAAGTGCAGGATATACTTGTTGCATATAGAAAAACAATATGGAATGCACAGAACAAGCCAAAAAAAAGGATTCATAAGAATAAACAACAAAAAATAGTACACTGACAACAATGAGCAATAAGCATCAAATTAAAAAGGAGAACAAACAATAATTAATAGATACACTCCTAGTCAATATAATAAAAGGTACGTATTACCTGTATTAGGAGTAGGATTATTACTATTTGATGGATCAGATAATCGGCTTGCTTGAGTAGAAGCACCTGTAATTGTGGTTTGCCTAGAGACACGTCCGCCTGGTGCCATTGATTTGTAGAATTCTACCAAAAATACTATATAATTTTAGTATATTCATTAGATGTAAAATCTATTAGTTTAACAAACCAAAAGTTAGAAATAACTAAAGAAAAACTCAAAAAGAACATAAATCATCAATCTGGAAAGCCTGATGCACATCATTTCCTAATACGAATTTACTATCTTCTTCTCCTAAAATTTATTGAACTATTGAAGCATCACTAGCCGAGTTAAGTAATTAGTATAACATACCAAAGATCTATTTATGTAGAAATTTTTCTAATTTGAAGGCACATCAACTATGTTTTCAAAAATGTATACCGTATAAATGAAAGTTTTTCAATGGTGAAAGTTGAAAGAAAAATCCAGCAACTTTTCACAGAGATAATCAAGAAAAGAGTGTGTGCAATGGTAAGCAATATGGACAACATTACAACAGATTATCTTGGAATGCTTTTGAAAGCTAATCATGATACTGCTGGAAGAGAGAAGCTCATATTTGAAGAAATAATTGATGAATGCTGAACAAGAAACAACTTAGACATTGCTCTCATGGACTATTTTTCTTCTAGCACTGCACACTGACTGGCAAGAAAAAGCAAGAGAAGAGGCACTAGACTTACTTGGGCAGCGATATCAAAATTATGAATACATATCAAAACTAAAAATAGTATGGGAACTATCAACAGCTCCTTTATTTTTCCATTATATTAATTTTTTTCAAAAACTTATACCAAAGATCTTATAAGTTATACATGCAGCAGATTTAAAAGAAGTTGTGTGTCTGACAAAGATTGAGCCTAGTGAAGAAATGTTTACTAGTTTCAACAAAAATATAAATTACCCTACAGAATATTCACCTTAAAACACTTTGTTTCAGTTCATCTAAATTTAAAGTGCCATTATCCGATCAAACAAATTTCCAAGGGCCACCAAGAAGCATGATTTGATTCAAACAGAAGCTTTAATACCATATTTCCACAATCCATCCACTCTTCCCTCAAAACCAGACAGAAAACATCAATATATACACAAAATAGATGCCTACTCTGATAATATCTAATATTTCCCCTTCAGTACACCATGCAAAACTATAAATAGACACAGTAAACTAAAAACTCTAAATATACACAATAAATTAAAGAANATGATAATATCTAATATTTCCCCTTCAGTACACCATGCAAAACTATAAATATACACAGTAAACTAAAAACTCTAAATATACACAGTAAATTAAAGAATTTCTGTTTCAAAATCTTCTAATTGATTTATTCTCATCTAGATTGATCATATGAGACAAAATAAAAGCATATCAATGTCTATGCCACAAATAATTAATGAATTAATAATTTGATATATGATTGTGGCAATTACAATCTATTGAATCTTATTCAAACAAAGAGTAGGTGAAATGATACATACCTGTTCAGAAATTTTGCTTCACTTTGCAATGTATTTTTTCCAGTCATTTTTCTCATATATATATAGTGGTTATCCTGACATTCGTTTGGAGCCAAAAATCCCAAAAACCAGCGCCAAAAGACGGTTTCTTTCTCCATTTTACAATGTTGTGGAATTCTATTTGGTGGGTATGGACGAGTTTGGTGGGTATGGAGGAGGTTGAAGAGTTATGCCAAGGAAGGGAGTGGAGAAGTGCTTTACCCTGAATTTTCTTCTAACCCTAACTTTATCTCTCTCTCCCACTAATTCTAAAATATCAGCCAACTTATGTAAAAATAGTATATACAGCCAACTTATATATATATAATACTACAAATGTACAACCAACTTATGTAAAAAAAAATAGTAAAATGAAACTTTACCTTGTGAAAATAATACTAAAATGAACTTTATTTTAGTACATATCCCAATTTTGGATGACTTTATGTTATAAATAAGCTATATCAAATATGTACTACAGTAATACAATATTCAAAAGATTTATTTCAAGAATTGATTTAACTATCTTGGTGTTCACGAGAAATTGAACCAAACAGAAAAGGGATCAAATTAGAGAAAAAAATCAACATTCTTTATTTGATTTGATTTTGATTTTTAGTTTTAAGAACATATAAAATTTAACTTTTTGGTTTTAAGCAAAAATTAATCGAAAAAGTCGAACCAGATTGATTATATAAATACCTATTTAGAAATTATAACTATATAAAATTTTACATTACAAATTATTTTTTGCGCTCTTGGCTACTATTTGTGTTGTTTCTACTCTGTTTGGATAAGTAGACTTGACAAAACCTCTTAGTTCTTTGTAGGAAAGCAACTGTTACAATTATGATCCTCTAATATTCCTAGTGTTCAGTATATTCTTAGTTCTTTGTAGGAAAGCAACTGTTACAATTATGATCCTCTAATATTCCTAGTGTTCAGTATATTCTGCTGATTGGTCCCCCAATGTCCACAAAACTTTTGTTCACTCTTTAGAACATAAGTGAAGGAATCAAGGTTATAAGATTAATTAGTGTTATACACTATACTTTTTCCTCTAAATTAAGTTATCTTATCGGATAAATTGTAATGATCGACAACTGATTAATCGATATTCGATAATCACTATCTTATCAGTTCGATTATCAGTTTAGCATATTTATAACCGATAACCGATAACCGATATATCGAGCCAATAACATTCACAACCTAACTGAACCGACTGATATACATTCCTAATAAGAATACTTTCTAGTTGGACATGGTTTTATTATTGCTACTTCTTATCGGCCATATTAATGTCTCTGTGCATTTGGTTTATAATGATTTCATTAATTGAATAATGTATTTGGATGATTACGGTAAAGATGTAATGACCCAATATGTCGTTTTAAGAAATAACGCCTCATTCAGCAACCTAAGGTCCCGAGCAACTTTGTAATATGTATTATGACTTGTGTGTGCCATCGAGTTTGGTTTTCAAAAGATTCGAAATTAAATTTAAAGAAAAATTCTCATTTTGAAACTTAAATGGAAAGAGTTGAACGGAGAGTTGACTTTTGAGCAACGACCTCGGAATGGAGTTTTGATGATGTCAATAGCTTTGTATGGTAATTTTCGCCGTAGGCGTATGTCCGGATTTGGAAGTCCGTAGGAGTTAGGACAATTCGACACATTTTGGCGAAAGTTGGAAAATAGAATTTTTTTTTTTGGAAAATTCGACCGAGGCTGGAAATTTGATAATGAGGCCGGATTTCGATTCCGAAAATAGGAACAGCTCTGGTACATCATTATGACTCACGTGCAAAATTTGAAGTCATTCCGGATTGATTTGATATGTTTCGGCGCAAAATATAGAAGTTGGAAGATTTGAAAACTCATAATTCGATTCGATGCGTGATTCGTAATTTCGGCATGGTTTGACGTGGTTTAAAGCCTTGACTAAGTTCGTATTGTATTTTAGGACATGTTGGCATACTTGGTTAAAGTCCTGAGGGCCTCGGGTAGATTTTGGAAGGTTAGCGGAGTTAATTTTGGACATTGAAGCTGCTAATTTTTCTGCTGTTCTGAACAACATTTGGGCAGAAGCGACATCGCAGAAGCATGAAACTCATCGCAGAAGCGACTTGAAAGGGGGCTGGGCAGTGTTGGGTGTTCATCGCAGGAGCGGAGCAGTGGAACGCACCTGCGACATCGCAAGTGCGATGTTGGCAGCGCAGAAGCGGATGTTGGCAGCTATGAGAGGGATCACAGAAGCAGCTAGAGTTCTTCTCTAATATAAATCATTGATGTATATTAGGTTGAGTTGTTCACTCTCGAACGTAGTATGAGTACGAAAACAACGTGTACCCGAGTCATCCAAAACCCAATCTGGACATTCGCCCAAGGCCAAAATCATCATACGAAGGCCTGTTGGAACCTTCAAATCTCGATTTCGAGGTCGTTTATTCAAAAATCACAACTTAACCAATTCTTCCAACTTAAAGCTTCCGAAATGAGAATTCTCTTTCCAAATCGACTCCAAACTTCCCGAATTCGAATTACGACCATGTGCACGAGTCATAGTACCTGAACTGAAGATGTTCATGGCCTCAAACTGCCGAACGACGTGCTAGAGCTCAAAACGACCAGTCGGGTATCGGTTTGCTGAACTTAAAAGATCCGATCCGATCCGATCCTAGTTTATATGGATTGGAGTTGGATTGTCATTTCTTCAATCCGAAAACCAAGTCGAAAATTTCATATCCAATCCAAACTGCCAGAACGCTCGCCCCTAATCTTCATGTCTTAAGTTCTATGTCAAATTTGAAAGTAATTATGTATTTAATCTTGAAGGAATACTAATTTAAATTACAGTATTGATGAAGCTTATTAATTATTTTATGTTAGGAAGATAAAATGTATAGTTTGATAATAGTATTTAAGAAACTATTATTTTTTATTTATCTAAAAATTAAGTATGGTTAATTTTTATCTCATATTAACTTTAACACTATTGCATTATTTGTACTTGTAAAAAAATTATAGATACTTTATTCTCTACCGAAAATATCTACTCACATATAAATTTATTTCTTTACTGTAATAACTTGAATTGATTAAATTAGAATAACATGTGAAATAGAGTGATCACGCCCAACTATGCGTTCTAAAAACAAAGCGGTCGTTGCAAATATAATCCGGTTTTTTTAATTCCGGAGTCGAATCCTCAGGGAACTAACCTATCTATTACAACTCTTGGCAATGCTATTATCAACTCAACCAATTTCCAGATGCAAGATTTTTATCAATCAGCTTGGGTTTTTGTTTAACTATTTCAAATGATATTAAAAATAACAATATGCTAAATTAAAGATAATTCAAGGGTAAAAAGGTCTAGGGCATTGATTTCCCCAATTGCTAGTTTAGGTTTTAACTCTTTTGCTATAATCTCGTTGTACTACTTTATGAGGTTTAAGAGCTATGAGTTATCGTAATTTTCTTTCGATCAACTATAATAATTTACTAGAGCATTCTCTCGAACTACTCTAGCTGACAATATGTGTAGCTCTAAATTATCCCACCAAAGTTTCGTTATCTCTAAACCCACTTTTAAGTTCAAGTAATGAATCTCTTCAATTACCCAAAAGTGGTGTTGTTCAACAACAGTCTAACCTAATATTCTTTCTCAAGCAATATGAGGTAATTAGACACGATTAATCAAGGGCCCATTCAATTAATCACCATACAAAACGTAATTGAACACTCATATAATAAATCCGGCTCGATTATAACAAGTTGAGTCAAAACTTCAACCAACAATTGGTTCCATCAACCCTAGATCAATTGTTTAGCTACTCATAACAAAACAAGACAAAACTACAAAGTTGTTCATAATGTTTAATTGCAAGAAGTAAAAGGGTTAGAAAAATTCTAATGTTTGGTAGATCTTCACACCCTTGTTCTTGCCTCCTCCGTAGTCTAAAAACAAGCCTTGAAAACCTTGATAATGATCTTTTGGGTGAGCTAGAACTTCTATAGGTTAAGTGGATTTACCCCCGAACTTTCAAATTTACCCCTGAAGTTTAATTTTCCGGAACTGAGCTAGCGCGATCGCGCTAGTGGACGCGCAACTAGCCGCACATATGGCCTATCAATTGCCTCGACTTTCTAGGCTAGCGCGGTTGCGCTAGTGGCCGCGCTAGTCCAGGTCTTCATTTCATCTCTTCTTTCTCCCGTCTTCCCATGTACTCAGCTCCTAGGGGCTTTTCTTGCTCAATTTAGCTCCAATTACAGTCTTAAGTCCTCATACATGCCATTCACTCCTGCAAAGTATGAAATTCATCATTAGAGCCAATTTATCATCATTTAACTATAAAATAATAGTGAAACATAATCAAGCTGGGGCATAAACAGTCGCCAAATTATATGAATCTAGCCTATTATCATAGAGGAAATTAAAAGACCAAATAAAAATTAACAAAAAATTAACTTTGTTGATTTAGTTGCTTTTTAGGTAAAAAATTGAATCAGATTGAACAATGAACACCTCAAGTATTGTGTAAATTATAGCATGAATGGATATACAAATATATATTTTTGTTCACTTTTCCGCATATGAGCAAGTTGAGCATAATTGATTAATTTTTCTTCTACAAACTTTGATACCATAAACTTTAATTGGAGTTCCAATCTGCTTGGGTTATGGATTACATTTTTTCTTCTATTTTTATAAAAAAATCTGTTGGTCACTCTTTTTGTCAAACAAGGAATTGTTACCGCAAGTCCTCAACATCTCCCCTCGTCCGTCCTTTTTATAAGAAAAAAAAGAATTGTCGCTGCAGCCCTCTCCTGACGCTGCATCTCGTTGCTCTTGGTAATCCCCTTGTTCGCTATCAGACTACTCTGGTAAATTCTCCTATTTTATTTCTATCGCTGCCTTCTCCTCTCTATTTAATTCTTAACATCCGAATACTGAGTTTTG